GTGAGTTGCACAAAGAATCATATGAAAATATGCAGCAAAATCAGGGCAAAGTTTAGCACTTAACCAATTTTTAATTATTATTTTTAAACAATTCAATGAGTGTTTACATGCAAAATGTGACATCAAAGCCAAGGGGGTTTTAGGCTTTTAAAAGGGAAAGAAAATAAATTTAAAAAAAGGGTTTTCCCATCATTGTTCAAAGAATATAATATAAAAACAATATTTATCATGCAAAAATAATAATGTTTACATATACTGTAAAGAAAATTTGAATTTGAATAACTATATTTGCGGGATATATAATAATGTTATATTGAACTCTTCAAGTGATCTCAGTAATTAAGTAGAGTGTTGTTCTCTCTAAAGGTCTTAAGTTCGAGCGGTTGTGATTGTAAGTTGTTTGCATTATCAATTATTATTTTTTAAACATATAATATCTTATAATCACCTCGTACCAATAAAATATAATGTTAATGTTGTATTGTACACCAACATTTATTCTGTTTAACTTAATTTGACATTTAGATTACTTTTAAGATATAATATCAAAAAATATTGTTAAAGTTTAACTTAAATAATTATTTTAGTTTATATTTTTTTAGAGAGTTTTGACTCACAATACTTTATTTTAGAGTAAAAATCACAAAAATTTAACTGAATAATCATTTTAACACTTTTTGAGTATATTGACTATCAACGTTTTATTTTGGAGCATTAATTGTTGGTTGACTAATAGTTTCCATCAACAAATGAATACTTTTATCTAAAAATGAAATATTGGTGGCCAAAATACTCAAAATGAGTTAAGTCCAAAGTAAATATTTTTTCGTTAAACCATATTGATAATCAATCTGTTGATTAATTAATTCAGATCGAGTATTACATAGGCCTATTATGGGGCGATCCTCTCAACTCAACTTAGTTGCTCTATTTTGCTTTAGATATCTAATTCCCGTCTCATCTAAGTTTTTTAGATAAATCAATTAATTATTAATTTTAATAACTATTTAATAAAACGTTTAGAGGTATTTTTTATTGGTCAAACCTATTGAAATAATTGAGGAGAAAAGCCAAATGCAAAACCTAAAATTTTATGAAGATATGGAAGGGCATAGGCTTGGCAGACTGTTGTCCATAATTATCAAAAAATTCCCTCAATGAAACGAATAATGCAATCCCTCATGCACGCACTGATAGCCATGTTGCCCAACTTTACCGCTTTTGGACCCCAAGCTTTTTTCTTTCTATTCTTTGACACCACACGTTACAATTTTGTATAATTTAGTCCATATGTATTTCTGGATTCGGTAGAGAGCATTAAGATGATTTTTAAGATTGTCAATTGAGTATTAATATTTTAAAATATAACTAATTAAGAAATATAATATTGTAAGTAGTTTAAATGTTACAATTTATATAATTTTTTTATAATTAAACTTGAATAAAATGATATATCATTATTAAATAGTGATTTTAGTAAACTTCGTTTTTAATCATCCAATTGTTTTTAAACTATATTTAACATTACATTTTGATAACTTTTTAGTTATCTATTGTTAAAAAATAAACAGAATTACTGGCATGATATTTTTTTAAATTATTTTCTATAACGACATGATATTACATTGTGATGACACGTCAACATCATAGTTAATTTTTTAACGGCGGGTGACAAAACAAAACAAAAACATAATACTATGTAAAATATTAAATTCCTTCCTCAATCTAGTATGATAATAATGAAGCATGTAAACATGGGTTTTAACTTCCTTCTTATGTAATACCTTCCAACAAGGTAAAGGAGGCTTATTGATCTCTTAATTTTCATTTTTAAGATAAAGTAAAAGCAATATTATTTTCAAAATTATATTTGATATGTATGTTATAAAACAAAGGTAAACAGTCATAGTCTTATTTCAAGGCATGCCAAGTCTAGAAACTTGGGCACTTATTCCTCCTTTAATTTTAATTTTTATTTCCTAACATTAACCATAGCCTTTGAATATACCTTTTCGAGCAAATTTGTAAAGGTCTAGACTCCAATTCAACTTCAACTCATGCATATATTTAGCTATCTAATGAGAATCAAATTAGGGAATATTAATCACCATATGATTTCTATAAATATAACAACAAAAAGGTTTTAAAAATATGAGTATAGTGGTTGTTATTCTTAGAGGTTTTGGGTTCGAGCACCAGCCACTGAATTATAGGTGATTCCAACTGCTGCAGTATGGGTGATTGAACGTTCATTGTCAAATAATTAAAAGTATTTAGAAAATATACTACTTTATAAACACGTTAGTTTAATGAAAAAGATGAGCATAGACATATGAAAATACATAAATATATATAAATATCTTAAAATCTATATAATATAATTTATTAATATTTTAACACTTATAGAGATAAAAAAATGTTAAAAAAACCTCATTAAGCAATGGTAAAAGCGGATATTGTTCTCTTAAAGAATTTGGATTTAAGGCATAAATCAAACGACTTCAATGGTTAAGAGATCCTTGTTGTACTTGAGGTTCTAAGTTCCAGTAAATAGGAACCTAGAACTAATACAAACTAAATTTTTAAGTATGTATTTTTAACATAATTTTTTACGTCTATTTATGAAAATTTTAGTTTTATATGTACGATGTTAGCCTTAAGTTAAATATAGTTGGATGAAGAAGCTCTAGTCGAGAAAATAGGAACCAAGAGGTCAAAAAATGCCAAGCTCATTTAATAAAAAAGGTGGACCAACTAGGAAATGGAATCCAATGAGTGGGTAATTAGTTCTACTCTTCTTAGAGAGAACATTGAAATATAATTTCATTTTCATCTCATAATATGTCCCCTATATTTTCTTATATATTACTTGATTTATGCCCACACATTAAAGAGCAGATTACACAAGTCTGTTCATACGGCACAATCCGGATAAATTTGAATAATTTATTTTACTATTAAAATTTATTATACTTTTAAAGAACGATTTTCGATAATCTTTTAATCTCTCGTCGGATGAAATTTGTCGAAATCGTTAATTCTCTATCAATCAAGATTTTTGGATATATTTCACCATCTATCTGAGTCTTAGTCTACATCGCCCAAACGCATGCTCCTAGTTGACTACAGTGCATAGATAAAACCTAGATAGACCCATATAATACATGAGAACGGAATTTAAAATTTGATTATGAGATTTACTTAACACTACCTATAAATAATCATGATTATCATACACATGATTCACACATGAAATATCTTATAATATATCAATAAAATTTCAATGATATGGTCTAAAATAAATGTATCATTAATTTGAAATCAACTACTACATATAAATTTGAAATCAACTTTACCTAATTTAAATATGATTCTATGGAATGGAAACAAAGTGAATAGCAATCCCATCTAATGCCATTACTGATTGTATTGTATTATAGGACAGGAGTGTAAATTTGACAAAGAATTTTGATTAAAAAAAATCTGACAAAGAGTTCGTCCACATCTGTGGTGTTTGTATACTTCGAATATTACGACAGTCTTAATATATTATTAAAAATATATTATTAAAAATATTAATATTTTTTAATATTTTTGATAAAATATTACATAAAATATTATTATTTTTATCAAAAATATTAATATTAGACACTACCTAAAATATTTAATATTTATGATAAAATGTTACCGAAAATATTATTTTTTACCAAAAATATTAATATTAAACATTATTTAAAATGTTATTTTATACAAAAAAAAAAATTAAGTAACAAAATTAATATTTTTGATAAAAAATAATATTTTAAATAACATTTTATCGAAAATATTAACATTTATGATGGAATACTTCTTTAATTATATATTAAAACTATCTTACACCATAATTACCAGTACACTCCATTTTTATAGTACCCACCCAAATCACACGGTGAAAACTGAATTCACCAAAATGATTCTCATTCAAGCCAATCAAGCCACACCCAAAGCTCAAGCCAAGCCAGACCCTAATACACATTTTTCCAAAATTACACTCAATTCGATATATAATCATTTTAGGGTAAATTGCAAGTTTAGCACTCTAACTATCACTTGTATTCCTTTTTAGTTATCTAACTATTTTATTTTAAATTATAATAATGATACGTTTTAGTTTTATTTTTGTCATTCATATTAAAACATTAACGTGTTATCACAAGAGAATATATGTCACCATTGAAGAAAAATAAAAATTTCACGTAAATAGTTATATAAATTTTTTTTTGAAAATGGCTTATTAAAATAAAATCGATACATAACATTGGATGATTTTGATAAAAAATATTTAATTGGCCAAAACAAAGAAAAAATGATAGTTGAAATATTAATGTGTAGTTTAGCCTTATTTTTATATATGGATAAATAAAGATCCAAAGGATAAAGAAGGAAGCTTTGCTTTGCCATTTCCATTAGGGGGTAAACGAGCCGAGTCGAGTTTAAGTATTGCTGAGCTCGATTCGATTTGAAAACTCTGAAATAAAGTTCGATTCAACTCGAAAGTTCGCGAGTTTAAAATTTTTAAACTCGACTCGAACTCGAAATCCTGAACTGTAACTCGTGAGCAGCTCGAAAAGGCTCGAAATGAAAAAAAATCTTAAACTTAATAAGATTGAATCCTCAAACTCAAACTCGAGCCTGAACTTTAAATACATGAAAGCCTTATTGTATTTTTTTTAAAAAATCAACACATAAATGTTAATATTATTAATAATTTATTTTTTAAAAAATAAAATCTTAATATATTATATTTTCGAACTACTCACGAAATTTTCGAGTCGAGTATCAAATAACTCATTTCGATTCGTTAAGAATTGTAGTCGAGATCAAGTTTGAGTCGAATTTATTCGATCTTAAATAACTCACGATCTATCTCGTCTCATTTACTACCCTAACTGCCATTGCCGGCACTCTCTCTTTGCTTTTGCATATTACACACATTCCTATCTCTTTTCTTTGTTCAAGACGAAGCCTTCTTCTTCTTCACATTTGTTGTTTGCTCTCTCATTCTTCCTCCTCCCGTTTCAAAACTAAGCCTTTTTCTGTGTTGGGATTTGTTGTAAATTTCATCTTCTGTGTGTTTTTTTTCTTCTTCTTCAGATCTGTTTACAAACCCTTTCCTTTCCCTTATATTTTCTGCTTGGTGGTGTTTCAAGTGTTAGGAGATATAAACAATGAGTAAAGAAGAGTTTATGAAGATCCAAGTATTTTTTTTTTGCACTCTCTTTCATTTTCAAAGATTGCACCTTTACCTCATTCTTACTCTAATTTTTTTGTTTCTTTGCAGACTTGTGTTCTCAAAGTTAACATACACTGTGATGGGTGCAAGCACAAAGTGAAGAAAATCTTGCAAAAGATTGAAGGTATTTCTTCTCTTTATTGAAAAAACAGAAAAAGAAAAAGATTGTGACATGTTTCTCTAATTTTGTGCTCTTTGGGGTTGTTCTTTTGTTTTTTGTTTTTCAGGGGTTTTTAAAACCGCCATAGATTCTGAGCAAGGTAAGGTAACAGTACTGGGGAATGTAAAACCAGATGTTCTAATCAAGAAGCTAGCAAAATCTGGGAAACATGCAGAGCTTTGGGGTTCTTCAAAAGCTACCAACAACAACAACAACAATAATCAGAGTCAGCTTGCTAACCAGTTCAAGAACATACAGATGCTTGATAATGGTGGAAAAGGTGGAAACAACAACAATGTCAGCAACAATAACAAGAAGGAAGGGCCGAAAGGGAGCAACAATAACCAGCAACCCAAAGGAGGCCAGCCAACGCCTCAACAATTGCAGCAGTATCTTCAACAGCTTCAACAAATGAAAGGGTTTCAAGATCTGAAGCAGCCTCAGTTGAAAGACATGAAGAATGGTCCTATTTCCAACAACAACAACAATCAGAAAGGTTTCAAGTTTGCTGAGGAGGATGATTTGAGTGACAACGACGACGATTATGACGATTGCGATCTCGATGACGATGATTATGACGATGATGAGTTGGATGATCCTCGTCATCCGTTTAACAAAATGAAGCCCGTGATGGGAAATGCTCCCAAGGGATTACCCAACAATATGATGATGTTGAAGGGGATGACGAATGGTAATCATCCTCAGCTTATGAATGCCCAAACGGCAGCCCAAAACGGTGGACCGAACGGTAAAATGGGTGGTGCAGCTGGCAATGGTGTGCCTGTTGGCGGTGGTAACAATGGAAACGGAGGTAAAAAAGGTGTTCTTGCCGGAGGTGATAATCATGGGGGAAACCCAAATCAAGGTGGTAAAAATGGACCTCAGGAGGCAAACAAGAACGGTGGTCCAAACGGCGGCAAGAAGGGAAATAACGGTGTTTCCGATGGGTTCCCAACCATGGGTGGCGGCCCTAATGGTGGAAACATGGGTGCTCATCAAAGGGCAGCTGCCATGAACATGGCAATGGGCCAAATGGGGAGCTTACCCATGAACCAAATGGGTAACATCCCAGCCGTCCAAGGCCTACCAGCAACCGCCGCTATGAATAACGGCGGAGGCGGTGGCAACGGCGGCGGATACTTCCAAGGGGCGGGTCCGGATGTTATGCCGGGTAACCCATACCATCAACAACAACAGTACATGGCGGCGATGATGAACCAACAACGAGCAATGGGAGGACCAAGTGAAAGGTTTCAGCCCATGATGCATGCTAGGCCACCGCCAGCTGTCAATTACATTCCACCACCATACCCATATCAATATCAATATCCATACCCGCATCCATACCCACACCCTCAACCCGACCCGTATACCCACTTCTTTAGTGATGAGAACACCTCAAGCTGCAGTGTTATGTGAAGAAGATATTTGGATTTATTTTACCCTCAAAAAAGCAAAAAGTAAAAAGAAACAAGTTCAAAGCTTGTTGATGCCATAATATACATGAAAATGGTATCTTTAATTTTCATTTTAGTTCAATTTCCCCCATCTTTTTCTTCATTTTTTTACTTATAAGTCGAATTAGGGCTTAAATTATGACAGTGGTAATTTATAGATAAATATTTAAGTAAATATATAATGAAATTCCTAAATTCAAGTTTGTATACCATAATAGTAAAACAATGATAAGAGCCATGCGAGGGTGTGGGGTAGAGTGAGTGCGGTGGGAGAAATGGGACCCACCAATCTTGAATACCATGTTTTTATTGACGATTTTGTCCCTACTCTCATTCCTTATAATGATTAAGATTAGGTAACCGCATTTTCAACCTTTTACAAATGGTAAAGATTTCCCTTGTTTGTATGCCCATGGTGCATTGATTTTAGTTTCTCAATTACGCGTTGTCTAAATTAATTATATTTAATTCAATGGTTTTGAGATCTTAAAGCTTTTTAAAACAATTACTCTGGTTTTGGTTTTATTTTATGTTTATTATGATTTTTAAATTAAGAAAAAGGATTAGTTTGAGTATTTAATTAGCGAAAATAATTATTGATCGTTGACATAATGATACACGATGTTGATATGATAGTTCATAATATTAACGTGATAATTTATGATGAATGATGATGTAATAAATGAGTTTAATTATCTTTTATAAAATTTGAGAATTTATTTAATTTTTAAGAAAAACAAATTAAAATTATTTAAATTTATAATTATTAAAATATTTATAGATTAAATATTAAAAATAAAATAATTAAAAAATACTAAGAAATCTATAAAAAAATTAAAAATGTTAAAAAAACATTTAAAAAGTATTATAATTTTTAACACTTCCATTGAAAATGATTCTGACTATGTCACGTCAGAGTAAATCTATTGCTATTTATTGATCATATTTACAATCGAAAATGTAATAGTATTTTTTTTTTATATATTTTTACCTTTTAATATTCCCTAAACATAATATCATAAGAATATCTTTTTCGAAAAAAAAATGTTGCCGCCGAGAAACCCTAACATGTCTCCATTTGCGAATCAGTTTGTGGTTCACAATAGCCGGTCGTCGGAGGATCAGATCATTATTCCGTCACTGTCGATTCTGGAAAGGTCAAGCTCACAGTTGGAAGCGAATAAGGATGCAAAGAAGCAACGCAATGAGCAGGAGAGTTTGGCTTTGTTGCTTAGTGCGGAAGAAACAAACATGGAAGCTGAGGGTGGTCTGGATCCCGTTGTGGAGGATTCCAATCTTTAGATGGAAACATGGATGACCCTGTGGCTTCGGCTGTGCATAAAACTTCTTATGCTCACATGGTTGTGAGCCCTAATGCTGGGAATACGATCACACAACCTTGGAACGATCTGATGATGTTGAGGTTCTTGACGAGGAATGCGTTGTGGATGACAGAGGTGTTGGATCATAAACTTGATCCATTATGGGAGCCTAAACCCAAACTCAAACTAAATTGATGTCATTGCTTACATCATTTAAGTAAAGATGTCATTGCTTACATCATTTAAGTAATGATGTCATTGCTTACATCAATTTAGTTAGGTGAGAGTTAGGTATTTGAAGACTTTAATGGTTTAAATTAGTTTATTTGTGTGGTGTAGGATTGTTCTTAAGTAGTATAAATACCCCTCCCCATTTTAGTTTTAAGCATCAAGAAAAAATTAAGAGCTTCTAAGTGAGTGAAAAAGCAAAGTCTTATAAGAGTGAGTTGTAGTTATCGATTTTGAGTGAGAGTGCTCTTGTAATATTTCTTTGAGTTTCAATAAAAGTTGTTTGTGTGAGTGTTTTATTTCCAACAAAGTGGCATCAGAGCGAGTTGGAAAGATCGAAGATCTCGACGAGAGGAATCCGACGCCGCCAGAATTTTCTCAATCTGAGTTCTGACGCACCACCACACACCGCCGAAAGACTGTTGCCAGAAAATCGAGTTGACTCACCGAGTTGAGCCGAGTCAGCCGAGTTGGAGCCCTTGACCGAGTTATCCAAGTCCCTCCCAAGGTTTTTTCGGCGTTCCGGATTCATCCGTGCAATCGGATTTTACAAAATCTCATTATATTGAGAGATATGGCAAATTTTATGACACCATTCCAAGTTCCGACACTCAACAACAACAACTACGAAAATTGGAGTATCAAAATGCAGGCACTTCTTGGATCACAAGATGTGTGGGATATCATAGAGAAAGGCTATAACGAGATTGTGGATGATGCTATTTTTGCTACTCTTACACAGATCAAAAGACAACTTTGAAGGATTCAAGAAAGAGAGACAAGAAGGCTCTCTACCTCATCTATCAAGCATTAGATGATGATGGTTTTTGAAAAGATTTCAAGTGCAAGCTCTAGCAAGGAAGTATGGGAGAAGCTGCAAACCTCTTACAAAGGATCCGAGCAAGTGAAGAAGGTTCGTCTCCAAACATTAAGAGGTGAATTCGAATCCTTACACATGAAATCATCTGAGTCTATTTCAGATTATTTCTCAAGAGTAGTAGTTGTTTCTAATCAATTAAAAAGAAATGGTGAAAATTTAGAAGATGTGGGGATAATAGAGAAGATACTCCATTCGTTGGATCCCAAATTTGAACACATCGTCGTGACGATTGAAGAAATTAAAGACTTGGAAGAAATGAAGATCGAGCAGCTCCAAGGATCATTGCAAGCATACGGAGAGAAGCATTAGAAGAAGCATGAGTTTACTGAGCAACTCCTCAAGCTGCAACTCAAGGATATGCATGAGAGCCAACACAATGATATAAACCAACGTGGCCAAGGCAGAGGTCATGGACGAGGTGGAAGTCGAGGTCGTGGACGAGGCTGGAATTACAACAACAACAATTCCAACAATAACTATGAGAAAGGAGAAAGCTCAACACGAGGCCGTGAAAGAATCTATCCAAACTCAAGGCATGACAAATCTCAAGTTCGATGTTATAATTATCAGAAGTTTGGGCATTATGCTTCAGAATGTAGAGCTCCCAACAACAAAATTGAGGAGAAGGCTAATTACGTGGAGGAAAAGACAGATGGCAAAGAAACTCTTCTTTTAGCACGAAAGGAAACTGATGGTGGCCAAAAAAATTCCTGGTATCTTGACAGTGGTGCAAGCAATCACATGTGTGGGAGGAAAGACATGTTCATGGAGCTAGACGAGTCAGTAAGTGGAAATGTTTCGTTTGGAGATGATTCCACAATAGCAGTGAAAGGGAGAGGTAACATTCTTATCCTTTTGAAAGATGGGAGACATCAATTTATTTCAAATGTCTACTATGTGGCCAATGTGAAAAGTAACATCTTAAGTTTAGGGCAACTGGTAGAGAAAGGTTATGATATTCATATGAATAATTATAATCTTTCTATAAAAGATGATAAGAATAACTTCATTGCTAAAGTACCGATGTCAAAGAATAGAATGTTCTTGATCAACATACAAAATGATGTTGCAAAGTGCCTGAAATCTTGCTACAAAGATGCATCATGGCTTTGGCATTTTCGATTTGGGCATCTCAATTTTGGAGGTCTAGAGCTGTTATCTAAGAAGGATATGGTGAAAGGACTACCTCGCATCAACCATCCTGACCAGCTCTGTGAAGGGTGTCTAGTCGGGAAACAATTCAGAAAAAGCTTTCCAAAGGAGTCAGAGACAAGAGCCAAGAAGCCACTTGAGCTCATCCATACCGATGTGTGTGGACCGATCAAGCCAAGCTCTCTCGGTAACAGTAACTATTTTCTTCTCTTCATTGATGATTTTCAAGAAAAACCTGGGTATATTTCTTGAAACAGAAGTCAGAAGTTTTTGAAGTCTTCAAGAAGTTCAAAGCAGCAGTGGAGAGAGAAAGCGGTAGAAAGATCAAAGCCATGAGATCCGATCGAGGTGGAGAATTTACTTCCAGGGAGTTTCAAGAGTTATGTGAAGCAAATGGAATTCGTCGACCAATGACAGTTCCTAGATCCCCCCAGCAAAATGGTGTGGCAGAAAGAAAGAACAGAACAATCCTCGACATGGCACGAAGCATACTCAAAAGCAAGAAGCTACCCAAGGAATTTTGGGCGGAGGCAGTAGCGTGTGTAGTCTACTTGACAAACCGATCTCCAACAAGAAGTGTATGGGGAAAGACACTGCAAGAAGCATGGAGTGGAAGAAAGCTTGGCATTTCCCACTTGAGAACCTTTGGAAGTATAACCCATGTTCACGTACCAGACGAGAGTAGAACGAAGCTTGATGATAAAAGCGAGAGTTTTATCTTCATCGGTTATGATGCTAATTCGAAGGGCTACAAGTTGTATAATCCAAACAATAAGAAGTTTGTGATTAGTCGAGATGTGGTCTTCAACGAAGAAGGAGAATGGGATTTTAACTCTCATACAGATGACTTCAATTTCTTTCCTCAGTTTGAAGAAGATGAGCAGACAATGAGGGAACAACTAGATGAATCTCAACAAGAGCTTGCAACTCCACCCACTTCACCAACATCAACTACTCAAGGAGACTCATCACCTTCGTCATCGTCAAGTGGGAGTCAAAGTGAAAGAGTTGTGCAACGCACAAGAAGCCTTAGAGATCTCTATGAGGTAACTGAACGATAAGATAATCTTACATTATTTTTCTGTTTGCCGATTGTGAACCAGTGAGCTTTCAAGAAGCGGTACAAGAAAAGAAATGGAGAGATGCGATGGATAAAGAAATCAAGGCCATCGAGAAGAATGACACATGGGAACTTACCTCACTTCCCAAGGGACATAAGGCAATAGGTGTCAAATGGGTGTACAAAACAAAGCAAAACGCCAAAGGAGAGATTGAAAGGCACAAGGCGAGGCTAGTTGCTAAAGGCTATAGTCAAAAGGCTGGAATTGACTATGATGAGGTATTTGCTCCTGTTGCTCGATTGGAGACTATCAGACTAATCATTTCTTTGGCAGCTCAAAACAAGTGGAAGATA